ATTCACTTGGACTTATACTCTAGCTCCTTTTCTTGCTTTTGCACAAATTGTGTATGTATTCCCAAGGCTTTGTTCTTTTTTCTATATGCTGATCCTCCTGATCAGCTCCTCTACTCCCACTAAGCTATGATCTCTTTGTAGAAGAAGCCACATCTTTATCTCTAATCTCTACCATTCTCAGAGAAAGCTCACCAATCATTTCCATTTGGGGTCCCAGGAGCATTGCTACTTAAAATGTCCAAACCAAAGTTGCCACCATCCTGCCAAATGGGCTTTTCTTCCTAGGTTCCTTAATCAAAGTGTTGCTGAACTTTGTTCCTTAGTTTAGTTTAAACTGGGTTCTTATCACATGACCAGAAGAAATTAGGGCACGTAGACACATGGAAGGGTAAGGGGAATGGAATTTACTGGGTGAAAAGGAAAAGAAAAAAAAAAGCTCAGCAAAGCGAGAGGGTTTCCTGCTAACAGGCCCCCATCTCACAGATTGATTCCAGGCCACACACACAGGAACTGAAGAGGACAGGCTCCTCCCCCTTGTCCACATGGGAACTTCCCATGGTTCCACCCTGTTCTCCCAGTGTGCAGGCAGGCTGAGATTCTCCCAGGACCCTCCTTTTTATCTGCCTCCTGCATGTATCACCAGCAGTGGCAGCATCCTCTTTCGACTCTCCCAGCATTCTATCGTCAACGTTGTTTTTGACTATTTCCTCTGCATGTAATTTCTCCCTCAAATGAACTCTCATAGTTTTTTATTATTATATTTTTCATGAATTTATCATTTTGTCTCTGGTTTTATAGATCTTGATGTATCTGATTTATTTCTGCCACAGATATTTGAGTTTGCTGATGGAAGGCACTTTGACTTATTTATTTTCGTACTATTTCCTTCCTGGTTGTCATCCTCCAGCTTTTTCTACCTTCTACTTCTCCCATCAATATTATACCTAGACTTTTATGGTTTGATAAATATTTATAGAATAAAGGAAAGAGTTAATGCTATGTGTAGTATAACTACATGGCTATTACACTTGATATCATTAAAAAACCAGAGCCTAACAGCCAGTTTAAGTGTAAAAACAGATTTTATTCAGGAAACATTGCAATAGGGGTAGGTTAGTCAGAGTTTTACAGAGAAACAAAAACAGCAGGATACAGATATAGATATAGATATAGATATAGATTAGAGAGAGATTATGAGGAATTGGCTCATATCACTGTCATGTGATAGTGACTGTGGAGGCTGAGAAATCCCAGGATCTGCTGTTTGCAGGCTGCAGACTGGGAAAACCTATGTGTAACTTACCCAGAGTCTGAAAGTCTGAGAACCAGAGGAGCCAGTGGTGTAAACTCTAGAGGGAGGATTGGAGAAAATGAAATAAAATGTCCCAGTTCAAGCAGTGAGGAATGAAAAAAGGGACGAATTTCTTCCTCTGCCTTTTGTTCTGTTCAGGCCTTCAGTGGGTTGAACTCATGCTGGGAAGGACAGTCTATTTCACGGAATCCACCGATTCAACCACCCTTGCAGACACCTCAGAAATAATGTTTAACACCAAAGAAATAATGTTTAATTTGGGAACCCAGTGGCCAGTCAAATTGACACGAAATTAACAACCACAAGGAGAAAAGAGACCTCAGTATGGAACTTGGCTCAACGCCAAATACAACACAGACAAGTGGGGCTCTACAGACAAGAAGGAGCAGCAGTAGGAGCAGGGAGGCGGTCATGAATAGAAAATTACTAAGGGAAAATATTAAGGGTATGGGGGATTTTGGTTAAACAGACCTAACAGGATTCTTGCTGAAGGCAGGATGAGGGTGATCAGATATGGAGAGTGGGGGAACTCTCTTTAAACTGACTTGGAAAGTTTCTTGCTGACACTGGGTGATGCAAGTCCTGAAAAGAATGGATGCTAGGGTCGAGGCCTGGGCTCAGAGGAGCCTGCCTGGAGTTTACTTAAGCACAGAATCTGAGTCAGTATTGAAGTTTTCAGATCTTGCCACTCTTCAGCATTTATTATAAGCAGATTTCAGTTGTATAAAAGGCTAAGGAAGGAACTTGCCCTAATTCCTTGAACTTCCTCCATCCCCTTCCTGAACCAGCCCCCATTTTCCCATAAGGACGTGTTTGGGAAAGATGCAGAAAAACTTCCGACTCATGAAAACTGGTGAGGAAGAAGGAAGAGCAGAAGCAGAAGCCAAAATGCACAGAACTATTTGCTAAAATGGTTTTGAGCATATTTTGCAGTCTCTTTCATAATATGTACCTAGCCCCTTACCTCTAATGCTACCTTACTTTGGTGTTTCACATATAAAAGGCTCATTTGAGGCACCTGAATGTGGCAAGAGACCAGTGAATAGGAGTTTAACTTAAAACTTAGGAAAAAAGTCAACCTGCTGAACACGTATCCGAAACCTTGAAAGGCCACAGCAAACATTGGGGTAGCATGCTTAGCATGCTTGAGACTAGCAGTGTCATAAAAACAAACATGAAAAGAAGTAAAGCTGTCTGTACATGAATGTGAAGAAGATGGTGAAAGCATGTGGCGTTATGAAGGCACATAGCATTCCGTAGAATCACCCCGACTTGTTTTCTGAGGAGCACTTGATGATCCTACCCTTTCCGTAATTTGTTTGTTCGTTGTTTGGAGGTGAAAGGGTGTGCTTGAGAGGGTGTTTGAGCCTCCTTGTCCACGGTATAACCGGTTGGTTTTGTTGCCCTCACTCTTCAGGAGCTGGACTCTCATCCTGTTTGTTCTCATTCTGGGAGACACCACCCTTTCTAAGACAACTGCTTTCTTTTGTTTTGGGTTCAACTTTGTTAAATCAAAGGATAATAAATACCAAGTTTGTTTGAAGCCAGAAATAGGCTGCTGTCCAAAATTGTGTGCATTCCAGTTGCTGGTAGATAGCTATTTTAAATAAGTCAAACTTGCAATTAATTCAGTTCTGCTGCACTGTTAGTATTCTGTTCTCATTCTCTTGTCACAAGGTGAGGCTTTGAGTTTTATCATCTCAACATCTCCATGTTCTTCCTGGTGATTGGACAGTTGCCATTCTCCATGATTACCATAACTATCCATGACCACCTGTCCAGCTCGAATTTCAACACAAATGCTGCACAGTTAAGCTATCTGATGGTATTAATTATATGTTTATTTGACTGCACTGTTTTTTTTTCTAATTTTATGTAGAAGAGTGTCTTTAATGATGTACAGTGGGCAATTCCGGCATCCTTAAGGGCAGTGGCATTTCAAGTTCTTGACTGCTGTTCACAGTAAGAAATACATTTTACATCGTGATCCAGTGTATACATGGATGTTATGTATGATGTGTAACTGAAGCTAAAGTTTGGTGAAGCAATACTTGCCCTATTATGTGTGATATAGTCTATAGTTTCTATTGTTTTGTGTTTTACTTCATTAAACAGTGCTGGCTGTGCCTTAGCAAGTGGACTTTCTGATTCAGGAATGGGTTACAATTTGAGTGTGAAAAAGAACTATTTAGCAGTCATCAAGTTTTAGGGAGTCTTAGAATGCTAATTCTTTGGACCACTGCATAGATCTTGGTATATTTGATGTTTTTTCATTTTTCCTTTATAAACGGTAGAGATCTCCTTTTATCAAAATAATACAACATTTTAAATTTCATTGTTTTTGTTGTAAAGGGAATTACAACACTTTATGGTCAAACAATTAACATCAACTCTTGAGTTCTTGATACCATTCATAGTGTATTAGTCAGCTCAGGTTGCCATAACAAAATATCATAGCCTAGGTGGCTTAAGCAACAGAAGTTTGTTTTCTCACAGTTCTGGAGACTTGAAATCCAAGACTAAGAGGCCAGAATGGTTGCTGTCTGTTGAGTGCTCTGTCCTTGGGTTGCAGAGAGCATTATCTCACTTCCCTATGTAGCAGAGAAAGAGCAAGTGAGCAAGCTCTTTGATGTCTCTTCTTATAAGCACACTAATTCCACTAGACCAGGGCCCCACCTTCATGAACTAATCTAAACTTGATTACCTCTCAAAGGCCCGATCTTCAGATACTGTCACACTGGATTAGGGCTTCAACATATGAATTTGGGGAGACATAATTAAGATAAGAGTACATATCTAAAGTCTTAATGGGGTATAAGCATTGACTGAAGCATGCAAATAACTTTCCTAAATTGCATTTATTAAAGGCAGACTCTTCCATTTGAGTGAATGGATATTTTTCACACTATAATTCTTATGATATTCATTAGCATTTATTTTATATTTTTCCTAATAATGCAAGTATTGTATATGGAAGATAGCTTACAGTTAAAATGTGAGAACAATGTTATACCTTTAAAAAGTCATTTTCACAGTTTTTTCCTAATGCAGATTTTATTTCTAAATAATAGTTACTGAATTTCTAAACAGCCCAGCACTATTTTCAAAACCTAATATAATATAGAAAAGCTACCCACCATCATTGAGGATAGTGCGTATTTTAACAACAACAACAACAAAAAAAACAGTTTGTGCTAAATACATAATTTAAAACAACTTATATATTTATATTTATTGCAGTGTAGAGAAGAGAGGAATTTCTTAACATGAAACTGTAGGGAGCCAGGCGTTTGTCTATAGGAAATGCTGTAGAGAGCCATGCCAGTAACTCACACAAAATATCCATTCAAACTGAAGAGAAGTAAGCTAAGAGAGGGTACTGACAATATAACATTGTTTTAAAGCCCTTTGTTTGAATGGTATTGTGATTTTATTTTATTTTTCTGCTGTAGGAAGGCTGTTGATTAAGAAGGTTTTCTCTCTTTTTTTTGCTCTTTTTCTTGTTTCTAGGTTTAAACTGGTGTGGACTGTTTTACAACTTTAGGGACCCATCCATTTCTGTGGTGGGCTTTTGCATAAAGAGTGCTGTGCATCTGGATGACATAGTCTGTGTCTCTTTATAGCATCTTTGCTTATGTGCTTTTACTATGTTAACATATTTTTTTTGTTGTTGTTTATTCTATTTTAGTGTTTATCTGCTGAAGAGATCTTTTCCCTTCACGGCTTTTCAAATGCTACCCAATTAACCAGCTCCAACTTCTCTGTCATCTGTCCAGCAGTCTTACAGCAATTGAACTTTCACCCATGTGAGGATCGGCCCACACACAAAACAAGACCGAGTCATTCAGAAGGTATACTGGAAGCATTTTTTCTCTTTTATTTGAAAAGTCTATGAATGATTATGAAATTAAGTTAATATGCTGCTTTTTCTGCTTTACTGCTTTTAATTAATCTACATAGAACCTCTTAGAATAATACCTATATTCAGAAAGTATTTAGAATGAGAAGAATTATAACTCACTTAATTTTCATAAGTTATACTCTTCTCTTTGTTGAATCGAAATTATATTTAGTACACTTAAAAATTTTATATGATCCAGTTCTTCATTTTAAACAATATATATTTTATGCTGTGTGTATTGGATTGCATTTTAATTATTTGGCTTATAATTGATCATTTCATTTTCATTATCTTTTGCTTACCATATTATTTTAAAAATGCTTAGTTTATCTGCAGTTACCAATGAAGAAATAAGAGAACTAGCATGCTTCTAGATTAAATCTTCAGGGACCAAATTATTAGTTTTAATTTTCATAGGTGAAAGAAAATACAAGCAGCTATTTTAAGTGACTATAATGGTATTGCCATGAATGTGGTATTTTAAAGGTATGATCTGCTGCAAAGAAATTTTAAAACATAATAAAATAAGTGTATGCTTAATATATGGCTCACATGCTTAAATGTGTAGAAGAGTAACTTTCACCAATGAGATAAACCAATTGTTCAGGGAGTCTGTTTGCCAATTATGTTGGAATTTTAAATTTTCATTCATTCGTCTATTAAGCAAATATTTATTGAATGACATACCAAGCATTGTTCTGTGTACTGAGGAGTCAACATTAGGCAAGAAGAAAAATTCTCAGTCCCATTAAGGCTTACAGTGTAGTGGAGAAAAGAGATAATAAACATTTAAACAAACAAGCAAATAAATAACATAGTTTCATAGTTAAAGGTGCTCTGAAAAATATTTTATATAAAATAAAATATTAGTAGGTAAGAGATAGAAGGTGATGGTGTGTGAGTGTCATCTTAGATCAAGGAAGCCCACTCTGATGAAGTTTCATCTGAGCAGAAGGAGAGGGCCACAGCAAGGTCTTCTCTGGGGGAAGAGTGGTCTTGGTCGAGGGCACAGCCAACATAGCTTGTCAATGAGCTTGGCATGAGTGAGGAGCAGCAAGAGGCTCCTATGTGTCTGGACCTAGTGAGTTGGCAGGGAAAGTAGGAGGAGATATATCCTGGTGGAAGATGGAGGCCAGGCGAGGAAGCCTTGTGGGAGTGGTAAATTGATTGGGTTTTATTCCGAATATACTGTGAAATCACTGTAGCATTCTAGAGTGGGGAGTGCTGTGATCTCATTCAAATCCATAAAAGTGCATACCACCTGATTATAATCTGCAGAGCAGATTGTAATGGGGCAAAAGTAGAAGCAGGGTGATTGGTCAGGAAACTATTGCCAGGAACTGATGCTCAGGATGATGAGGACTTGGACTAAGGTGGGGGAAGTAGAACTGTGGAGAAACAATCAGATTCAGGATGTTCTGGAGATTATGCTAAATGGTTGGCCCTGTATTGATTATAGGGGAGGGAATGATGAGTCAAGGCTTGAGCCAGAGAAATGGGAAAGATCAGTATACCATTTCCTAGGATGGAGAAGACTGGGAGGAATTTCCTAGGATGGAGAAGACTGGGAGGAAGTATTGTAGAGGAAAAGAGTGGTGAGGATGAAGAGCATAATTTTTGGTGTGGTCGCTTTGAGACATTGACTTATGCCAGTAGGCAGGAAGGTCTGATAGGCAAAGGCACACAGACATTTGGAGAGGAGATTGCTTTCAGAGGAGGTCAAGAGTGGGGATTTGCCAGTCTAGAGATGATATTTAAAGATGCTAGGACTGGGCATGGTGACTCATCCCTGTAATCCCAGCACTTTGGGAGGCCGAGATGGAGGATTGCTTGAGGCCAGGAGTTCAAGACCAGCCTGGGAAACATAGCAAGACCTCATCACAGCAAGAATTTAAAAAATGTTAGCTGGGCATGGTGGCATGTCCCTGTAGTCCTAGCTGTTAGGGATGATGAGGCAGGAGGATCACTTGAACCTAGCAGGTCAAGGCTGCAGTGAGCTATGATGACCCCACTGTACTCCAGCCTGGGTGACAGAGGGAGACCTCATCTCAAAAAAATAAAAATAAAGATGCTGTTCTGAGTGAGCTCATTTGACATGAATACAGATAGATAAAGAGAGTAAAGAGAGACAAAAAGCGTAGACTTAACAAAGGAAGTGACTGTTTTCATTTCTGGATTCCTTTGTGTATATATACTTCAATCTTTCTCTATATGAATAAAAGAAATAATAATTGCAGAAATAATGATGATAACCAATTCTTTTGTTGTATTTCCTATGTGACAGGCATTCTTTGAAGTACTCTACATATTAATATATTAATCTCATGCAACTATATGATGTAGGTACTACTATTTTCATTTTGCAGCCAAGAAAACAAATGTATAGGGAGTTTAAAGTCATTTTAAACTTACGCAAACTTACATGTTACGTAACTTACATGTGGTACAGCCAGATTTAACCCAGGTTGTCTTGGCTTCAAAACACATGCTTTCTTTGATATTCTAAATTTATATATACAATGCATAGAAATCAGCAAGTATAATTTATCAATATAATTTGTAACTTGTGAGTAACAGTAATTTCAATTTTGAAATACTAGTAATTTTGAAATACTAATTGTTTGAGCACATATTTTTGCTAAAGTGTATTTGTAGTTCTATAAGCCCATTTAACTTTAGATAATTTGCACTTTAGATTCAAAAGTAAATTCAGTCAATGCTTTAGGATACTACCCTTGACTGTTTTACACAGTGAAAGCACAGACTCTGAAGTCAGTTTACTTGGGCTCAAATGCCAGCTCTGTAATTATCCAGATCTGTTGAGAACATGACTTTAACCTTTTCTTGCTTCAGCTTCCTCATCTAAAATAATACCTTTCTTATGGGCTTGTCGTAAAGATTAAATGACTTCATATTTGTAAAACACTTAGAACATTATTTGGCATATAGGTGCTGTAGTAGGCCTGTTAGTTAGGTCTGTTAAATAATTACATCTAACATGTGCATAATTCTAGGTGCAGGAAGTGAGGTTTCAGAAAAAGTGAATACTCTACTCTGTGCAGTTTAATTACTTATATTCAAAAGTAATTTTAACCCCAGTTGCTCTGTGCAAGTTAATTATTCATATTCAAAAGTAATTTATAAACCGCAGTTGCCTAGGTTATTCTGTTTCAGGAACCAGGAGATGAGAACTGCCAAGTCAGAAGCAGGAAGTGAGAGATAGAATTCTAGGGACAATACTACCAAGTCATAAAATGGAAAAGTCAACAATTTTAAGTTACAAGATCAGAAAGGCACCAAATATTCAGACAGATGACTCAATAAAAAGATAAATGCCTCTTAGGGTGCATATTGTTTAGGAATTGAAATGAGGCTGGAGTGGAGTGGGATAGAGTAGGAGAAGATATAGAAATGTTTCTGGGGGAATTAGGGAAATGAGTAGAGTACTTGTTACTACTCATCCATCTAAGATGTTTAACTTGGCAATCTATTGCCTTTTTGATGCGATGTCTTGATTGTTTTATTTTAGTGCAGCCATATGATTATTTAATATCTCTTTGGGTCAGTTACTTCATCTCTAAGTGGATTTCATAATGGTACCTTTATAGAATTGTGGGAAGTATCGAATGAGTTAATATATATAAGTGCCTCGAACAATGGCTGGCACAGAGGAAGACGACTGTCTTTGTTCTTATGTACGTGTTCATAGGTTCACCACATTCTCTGGACCCTGTGCAATCGTATTGTTTTGTCACTAAGAAGCACTTTTTAAAATAATTTAATGTACTGGATTTTTCATATAACTTTTTGCTTAATGAAGAGTCAAGTCTTAGCTCATCTGAAGAAATAAAAAATCAAAATAAAAGCAATCTTGAAAGGGGTCACAATATAGAATTTGATGAATACGTTTATGTTGACCTTTCTGTAGGCAGATGAAATAATATCATTTCTCAGAGACTTTTATTTTTGAAATTTATTTCCTATGCTTTATAAAATGATATTGGTGAGTACAGTAAACTGATAAGTTAAATTCCTTAGGAGAGAGATTAATTGCATTTTAGTACTAATTTAATGGTTGAAATTGCCTCACTTTTTGATGAAGTCACAAAATAGTCTTTAATTTAAATAGCAGATAAAATAAAGACTATTACTTGAAGCATCCTTGAAGATCGTATTGTCCAACTGTGTAATACAACCAGTGATATAAGTCTAAACTCCACAGAGGTTAAGTGGCTTCTTGTAGGTGTGGTACCTAAGGTGAGATGAGAGCTCCTGATTCTTAGTTTATTATTTTTGTCGCTGAATAACAGTGAATTAAATGAATTAACATTTATATCGTGGTCTACTTACTAATTTTTTTAAACATAATAATAATCAACATTTATTTAAGGGTTACTGTATTACAGGGACAGCATTAATTTGTTTTATTTTATTCTTATAAAAACTCTGAAATAGGAGCTATTTTAAATTAAATTAAATTTTTATTTTTTTGAAATGGAGTCTCACTCTGTTTCCAGGCTGGAGTGCAGTGGTGTGATCTCAGCTCACTGCAACCTCTGCCTCCCAGGTTCAAGCAGATTGCCTGCCTCAGCCTCCCAAGTAGCTGGGAATAAAGGTGTGTGCCACCACTCCCAGCTAATTTTTTGTATTTTTAGTAGAGAAGAGGTTTCACCATGTTGGCCAGGCTGGTCTGAAACTCCTGACCTTGTGATCCACCCACCCTGGCCTCCCAAAGTGCTGGGATTACAGGCGTAAGCCACCCCACCCAGCCAGAGCTATTTTAATCTGCATTTTAAATATGAGAAAATGGAAACAGAGAGAAGTCAAGGAACCAGCCTATGATGCCAGTGAGGGAAAGAGCTGGGATTTGAACACAAATCCTCTGGCCCCAGAGTTCACATTGTTAAACAACATTCTATACAGTTTCTCAGAATGTGGCCAGGCAGATATTGAGGCCTGGGCTGTACATAGATCTACAAAATGAGAATCATAATAGTAGAACCATATTTCCTCACAAGTAAAATGGGAATAATAGTATCTGTCTCATAGGGTGGTTGTGAGAATAAATGAGTTAAAATAGGTAAAGTTCTTATATTAACACACAGTGGGCATTCAATACATTTAAACTATCATGACTATATTTCTTTGAAATCTATTAAAGTCTTTCTGGATTCACTTATGAGGAGACTGGTACCTCTCTGAAACATCATTTGAGAAAGTCCCATGTGTATATAGAGAGGTCCAGGGAAAAGATTTATACCAATTTATTCTTTGGTGTTTCAGTTGAGTGGAAAGTGCTTCAGTTGAGTGGAAACTCCAGACATTTTTTTCTAAATAATGTTCTAACACTGCAAGAAGAGGAAGCTAGGCCGTGTGTGTAGAATGTGATGAATTACACTCTCACCATCCCACAGGTTGTGCTAATAAATGTGCAAGGGGAAAGAAAGTTAGAAAGTTGGATAAGTGGATGGATTGGTATTTCTTTTTGACTGAGTTCTGGGCTGCACCTTGATATAGGGAATTTATTCATTCAGTAAGGAATGTGTATTTTTTCCTGGACAATTTTTAGGCACTAAGGATGAATAAAACATAGCCCTCTCATTGAGAATCTCACAGTTTATATGATGTAGACAAATATATCAATGATAAAATTACTGTAGCACACAAGAAGTGGTAAGTGAACCAATTAGTTTAAAACACAGAGTGATGGGAATCCTGACCAGCCCTGGAGTACTGCCTGGAGCTTCATAGAGAAGATCTTTGAGTTGGCTTTGAAAGCCATGTATGAGTTTCTTAAGCAAGGAAGATAGGAAGGTGATTTCAGACAGAGAACCACAGGGTAAAGGTAAAGCTTTGTTGGGAAAACATGGTGTTTGGTTAAAGGCCATGTTGAGAAGCGGGTAAATAACCCTTGAGAGGTTGTAGGAGGGGCATTAATAAGGAGTAGTTTCAAATGGGGGCATGAGATGATCACTTTCCTGATTTAGTGTAAGTCTGGAGGCCATGTCAACTAGTAGAAGGGACACCAGATCACTAACTGTCACCTTATATAAGATGAGGGAGTGAGAGGTGATGAGGGTCTGACTTCAAGGCACTGGTAATGAGGATGGTGAAGCTGGAGGTGGAGATACTGAAATAGAATTGGTAGAGCCTGATCACCAGTTATTTGTGGAATTAATTAGTGGAAACTGAGAAACTGAAAGTGATCCTACTGTTCCTATTATTTATGTAGGTAGTGAGCAAGGATAATGGAGCAGGTGTTTGTAGGGAAGCTGATGAGTTTAACTTGTGCATGTGGCTTTGCTTCTATTTGGCACTTAACAATTTCTTTGCCTTTTAATTTCAGTTTTCAACATGTATATATCTTGTCTACCCAATGAGATTATAAACATTTGTTGAATGAATAAATGCATGTAGGCCAGTGATTAGATAGAAGTATGTTTATGTTAAGGGAAATTCCATGTAGACATACCATGAAAAAAGGTGTGGAATTGAGAACTCTCTTCAAGTGGAATGCCTATGGGGACTAGTAGTATTGTTTTACCTGGTAAGGTAATACACGAGAATAAAGTGGGCTGTTAGATGAGGTTGTAGGGCGTGGTCAGGACCTAAAACTGAAAGGAAAATTTCTGGAAAAGATGTAGTCATCATGGTCAGTGCTGTAGTGATTCTTGGGGTTACATAGTACCATTTATAATCTGACATTTTCATTTGGTGCTTACCATTTATAATCTGACCTTTTCATTTGGTGCTTAGCATAGGTGACTTTGCGTCACTCTGCGTGTGTGTTTGCATGTTTGTATGTGTGTGTGTTGTCAGGAACCCTGGTTTGGTCCACATCACCTAGGCTGAATGAACATTTACTAACTTTGTTGATTTGTACATATAAATTGTAGGCTAACAGTAATTATAGTGAACAGTCTTATGTTAATGAAATATGTCTAATTGAGGGTAATATTTTTAATTTTGTTGAGTCCTTAGGGCTTTTTAAAAATTAGATTACCTTTACAGGAATAATAAAGGATACTGCTAAAAAAATGTGGGCCTGGGAGCCAGACTGTCCAAGTTCAAAATCCAGCTTTCTATCCATGTGACTAGGGCAGCTTACTTGAACTCCATATGCTTTGGTTTCTCCAACTGTATGAAGGTCATAGTAATATTTTTCTTACAGGGTTTTGTGAGGATCAAATGAGTTGACACATGTTGATCACTTAGCACAGAGCCTGGCCCATGGCAAATGCTCCTTTAGCTATAGGTGTTACTCGTGTACTCCATTCAACATGCTTTGTGTGTATTTTAAAGCAGTGGTTATGCAGGGGCAGCTTTCTCCTCTGTCACAGTACTTTGTGTACAGTGTGTGGGGCCAGACACAAAGGCTCATGTTGCACAGCCCTGGGGCCAGGTTGTATCTCAGCCTGCACTCACGCATAGGTGATGGTCTTGGGTATGTTTTACTTGTGTTCCTATTTTGTACTTAAACCAGACCCTCTAGGATAGAGAGAGGGAAATTGAGCTCCAAAGGCAATAGGTCACAGAGGCCATTAGCTGTAGAGCTTAGGATAGTAGTCATTCATTTTATTCTAAGCAACACTTAGATGTACCTGTTGGGTGCCAGGCCCTGGGTCTCAAGAGATGAAAGATGCACCACCTTCTTCTGTCACCAGCATCTCTTCTGTATAGAACATTTTTGCCTAATCTGTGTCTGGCAGGGTGAGTTATGTAATACAGCCACTCCCTCATGCCCATGTGTGCTCACTTCCTGAGTGCTTATTGCATTAGGCTGACTTTAGTTCTCAGGAGGCCCCAGCTGGGGAGCCGAGGTGCTGCCAGTGCCACCTTCTCCAAGGAGGTGCTGTCCTCAGGAGTCTGCAGGCAAACGATTATGACAAATTCAGTGTTAGCAGCTATGGTCACCTTGGAGCTAACCCCTTCTGACCCATCTCCATCCCTGCCCTCCATCTGTCATCCCATACCTTTGCCCTGAAGCTCACACTGCCTCTGCTTTTTCCAAAATGGTGTTTTAATGTATTACTTGAGCCATAGATGAAACTAGGTGGGTTGGAGCCTATGGACCTCAGATTGTCACTATTCTAGGTGTTCTCCAAGTTCCCTGCGAACTGTAAAACTCATTAATCCCATAATGATGATTTAGAGCTGATTAAAACATAAACTGCATTACTATTAATGCTTACTATGGCATATGTTTATTCTCAGTTTTGTATATACTTTTCATTGAGTAGATTTTGTTCTTTTAAAGAAGATAAGTGTTTTAAACTTTTAAAGACACCTTTAAGCTTAATGTACAGGAAAACTTCATTTGGTTCCTTGCTCTGATGAATTTCTACTCTCTTTTCCCTCTGACCCACAGTTTGGGGATATGGATTCCTGTCAGTGACAATTATTAATCTGGCATCTCTCCTCGGATTGATTTTGACTCCACTGATAAAGAAATCTTACTTCCCAAAGATTTTGACCTTTTTTGTGGGGCTAGCTATTGGGACTCTTTTTTCAAATGCAATTTTCCAACTTATTCCAGAGGTAAGGATTTTGGCTATTTGTTTCTGTGAATAATTATTCCTTTTGAACATTTTAGCACTTTGTAAGTTTTAGCCTCCATAATTCTTACAGCATTTTATGGTCTGGTTTATAGTGTCTTGGATAAAAGAAAGCTGAATCACAGCAATTGTGAAGGCTTGCCCCAAGCTGCAATGGATATCGGTGTCAGAGACAAAATTAATATTCTAGAAGGCCAGCCACTAGGACGTGCTCAGACAGCTCTGGGACACCTCAGAAGGCCTTGAAACTTTATTCTGCCTTGCACTTGGCAAATTTAATTTTAGAACACATGGTTCCATTATTTATTTATTTTTCTAAAGAGTGTGCAATGTCAAATGTACTGCAAATGTCAAATGTAAATTTATAATTTAAGATATACCACTAAATTCCCTCATATATTTACTACAGCTATAAATGACTAGAGAATAAATGAAAGCATGGCTGACAAACCTTTTTATTTTTTTCAACTGTGGAAAAATATCAATTGAGGACAAATAAATATTAACTGATTTTTTGCTTTGATAAAATGTGTTATTGATCAGATCTTGACTAAAGTGCTCACTATTCAATTAATCAACAAATAATATGTATGCTTTATTTCAAATCTGCGTTGTGCCCATATAAGGAAAGGAAATGGAGGAAAGAAAATAAATGAAAGGAAAAGAGAGGCAAGGTTGAAGAGGAAGGAAGAGAGAAAGAGACTTTCATAGAAGGGATCTACAAAGGGGAACTAGGGAAATATATGTATACATGGACTATATCTGCCACCCACAGTGCACACACAAAGAGGGAGAGACAAACCCCATACAGAGAGAAAATACTAATAGTATTTCAGGGAGTACCACCCTCATCTCATAATTTTTAGAAAATTATAACTAAAGTTTCCTTTAGTTTTCAAGCTATATTTGAAAGTGGGGATATAGCTTTTTAGAGTTATAGATTTATTATCATTATTTGATCTAGAACCTAAGATAATACCTATTTCAAAGCCTCAGTTATAGAGATGAAAAATATTAAAATCCAGGGGGACTAAATAATTTGATTATAGCCTTATAATCAGCTAGCAACAAAGGTAGAATGATAATACAGATTTTCTGATTCAAAAGAGTATTATACACATATTTAATATGATATAATATATGTATATATATTGTCTCTTCTGCTTTATGGGTCAAATTAAATTAAACTAATACTGTATATGGACTAGAGACTCTACATTTATGATGTTAAGGTTTTCTATTTTATTGAAATTTGACAATATAAAGAATCTGTCTTTGTAATAATATCTCAAATTTCCATAGAGTGTTTTTTGTGGCAAAATGGTTTTCCTTATTTCATTTTATTTTCATAACCTCAGTGTTAGGTAAATGGAACAGGTTTTCGTTCCTTTTCCATTTTTGTATTGTATAAACAGGCACAAAGAAGTCACTCAAATGAAGATGCGGCCATGAGGTCTCCCCAGAGGCAAGCATAGGACAAGAACTCAGACATCCTCTATTCTGCCTCAGAGGAAAGATTACAATGTGTGGAATGATGTAATGCTGTGGCTTTCACACATTACTCTCGCCTCTGATTCTATTTATTTGAAGTTTATTTGTCTTGTCTGTTAGGAACACCTTCACTCTCTATAACTTCAAACTGTAACTCCAGCTCTTTGTCCTTTAAACAAAGGATTATTCCATTCTTATTGCTGTGGGGTGTGTGTGTGTGTGTGTGTGTGTGTGTGTGTGAGAGAGAGAGAGATTGGAGGCAATTTAAAATCTTCTTTTTGCTTTTATTCTTGGGCCTAGCCCTTGATTTATTTATCTTTTTAGGGTTTATCACAGTTCTGTAGGTATAAGAGGATTTCTCTTGGAAAAACAGTAATCTAAGTGGTGTGCCATATTTGTTTTGAAAGTTTGACTCTGGATATCATGGACAAATACATTACTTTTAGAGAAAGTTGGTAGGCAGTATCTCATTTATCTTCATTATCTAGACCTAATATTATCTTCTAAAGATGGGAATTAGTGCTGCTGCTTTACTGCTTAAAATTTGCTCCTTCAAGGCAAATATTGCCATAGGTGTTATAGCTGGCAAACTGTAAGATCCTCTGTTGCCTTTAATGAGATTTCTGGTTGTAAGATTTTTGTGCTATCTCATACAGTTTTGTTGTTCAAATTTCAAAGTTTTTGTTTTGTGATTTTTGGCAGGTAGGGTTCCAATATTACTTGGATGTGAAAAGAGACTTAGAACCTTAGTGAAAACTGTATACTGGTATTATTTTCCAAAAATCAAGTTAAATTTCTCGGTTTTACCTGTATTGCCCTTTTTTCTCCCTTAGGCATTTGGATTTAATCCCAAAGTCGACAATTATGTTGAGAAGGCAGTTGCTGTGTTTGGTGGATTTTACCTACTTTTCTTTTTTGAAAGAGTGCTTAAGATGTTATTAAAGACATATGGTCAGGTAAGTGGACTTAATTTAAAACATCCGATATTTTTCCCCCTAAAGCTACTTTATATAGGTAAATAAAGACAGGAATTTTATTCTTAGAATTATGAGAATGGTCCAGTTATTAGGCTTGGGACTTTGAGAAGAATGAAAAGAGTTGCTATATTGACAAGTATCAGATAAATACCTGATTTGTATTGTAAGCTTTCTAGCAAGTACCAGCAATTTAATATTGAATAACAGATGTGTATGGTTCATATTCTGTTCATATTAATCAAAATAAGAATGGATATGTGTTCTAACATGAACAGACAATAATAACAGAATCTAATAAATGAAAATACATATAAAAAAGAAATTTTATACATCTGAAATATTTCTTTACGTATAGACTAGACATATAATTTTCCTCTTATAAATAAAAAGCAGTAAATTCTATTTTCTTGTCTGTATGAATCATCTTTTTTCTTTTTATAATCTCTTTGGTTTTTATTCCCATATAGAATGGTCATACCCACTTTGGGAATGATAGCTTTGGTCCTCAAGAAAAAACACATCAACCTAAAGCATTACCTGCCATCAATGGTGTAACGTGCTATGCAAATCCTGCTGTCACAGAAGCTAATGGACATATCCATTTTGATAATGTCAGTGTGGTATCTCTACAGGTATATGTTGAATCAATTTTTTCTTTATTATACAGCATTCTTTATACTGTGTAAACACGACTGTGTATGCAGCTAAGTCAGTATTTTGTACATTTATATATGTAAGACTTATTCCTAAATATGTGGGGTAACTAGAATGTAAGTCTGCATTGTTTTTCCACATTCCCTTTCTATGTTTACTCTAAACAAGTGAGTTAAGAAAGAAATTGTGGGTCACTTGTTTGGGTTTCATTATTCTCTAAGATTATTTACTATATGAGAGTCTCTCAATTGCATTTATATAATATTATGCAGCAAAATTAATTCAGAGCATTTATTTTACAATTCTTTCAAGATCCAAAAGAAAATAATTCTTTGATTTTGAAACTGCAAGAAGAAAGAAGATTTAGAAACTATTAAAATTGCTTTTATTAATTGTCTGACTTAGAATTTATATTCATATCCACATCTGCTAAATAATATTAATAGACACAATTTCTTGAGCAAGTAACACATGCCAGATAATATGCTTAGCTCCTAATTATTTGATCTCATTTACTTTCTGTAACAACTACTCATGTAGGGATTATTTCTTATGTATTAGAACTGTATTGGTTTCAAGTGATAGAAATCAAACCAAATTACATAAGCACAAAGGAGAACTTACCAGAAAGATCCTACATGACTAATGGAACAGCCAACCTACAGGAAGAACAAGAACCTAGAACCATTAGAACCACTAGGACTCTCCCTCCTTCTCTTTCCTGTCTTTTAGTATCATTCTTTTCTTTTACTGTAGGCTATCTTTTCCATAAGTGGGCTACATAGCCACTAGCAATTCCTGAGATTTGTCTTGTAATTTCACCTACTAGGAGGAAATTGACCTGACTCTTTCAGTCCTAAGTGCAAAATCACTGCCAAGTGTCTTCCTCGTCCAGTTTGAATTAGATGATCACTTCTAGACTAATTTAAGTGCTGAGACAGTTGGACCCCTTTATGGTATCAAGAGAATGTGGATGGAGTAGAGGAGTGGTTATCAAAAAGGGATGCTGAGAAGATAGTATCACTGGTGTCCACAACAATTCTCATTTGATGGATGATGAAAGTGGAACTTTAGATGTAAAATAACCCCTCCAGGTTTACTCAGCTAGTGAATGGCAGATCCACAAGCTATATAGTTAAACATGATATAAAAGTGAACAGTTAAAAACAAAATGAAAAGGAAAGCCAGCTGAGGGGAAAAAAGCAAAAAAAGAACAATCTGGAAGAGATTATTATGGCAAATGACCTGAGTTTTCTGGAAGGAAATCATGATTGGTCATATGCTTCTCTCTACCTGATTAAGGAAAATCTCAAATGTATTTTAAGAGGCAGTTCTGTGTTAGCACTAAGCTAAGAGGAAATTATTTTTTGCTGTGTCATGAATGATGCCTTCAGCCAACAGTTTGCAAAGAAACTGGAAATGTTCAAATATATAATTTCTTATAATAATAATTACAGTTAACATTTATTAAATGCTCAAGGACTACGCCTAGAATGTTAGATGAATTACTTCATTTGATCTTCCTAATAACCTAGGGGGCAAGTGCTATTATAATTAGGAGAGTCTGGCTTAAAGAGGTTAAATAGCAAACCCAAGGATGCACAGTTCCTAATGGCAAAGCTTGGATTAGTACCAAGGCTACCTTATACTGAAGCCTGTGTTCTTATATACTTTGCTGAACCGCCTGCCTTATGTACTACTCTGCTATAAGCAGGATGACAATATCAACTCTTAAGTATTTATTTTCATTGTGGGGAAAGGTAATTTGGCCCAAGGATATTGCTTTATGAGGACATATAATTTAATGCAAGGCATAGCAGAGAGAGCCTAAAGAATGGTAGTTAAAACTCTTCCTTAGACCATGTATCTAAATTCTAGTTGCCTTATGCAAGCTTTTGGCAAATACTGGATTATAGTGAGATGGTGGTTGAACCATGACAAGTCATTCAAGAGGTGCCAGTCAGCTATATTGCTAATTTAAGCACTAATTAATAATTCTTTAGATACCAGATGGCAGAAGGATGATCTGCCATATGAAATCTGGAGACTAACTTGAATTCTTACTCTGATGGAAGATTTTCCTGTATCTTTCCAGAGTTAACAAGATAATTTTAGGCAGGGCTACACTTCTACAGAGAAGGAGCTTTGAATCTGGTCCAACCTGAAGCAGGTTCTCCCCTGGGATCCCCAAATCCTATAACACAAAGCACAGAAGAGATAGAGTTTGGGATTTAAAATATTTAAAGGGCTGATAACCTCTTTGACTGTACTAGAAACTCAGCGTGACCTCTCCTGTTTTCAGTAAAGTTCCTTCTGATGAACCCACTAGGATAAACCAGCTGCTAAATGTGCCTTGAGTATCAGAATATGAGCTGATAGGAATATTTATATTTAGACAGGAGGATGGCTGTCAAAGATTTTATAAGTGGTTAAATTCTTTTTTAAAATAATAATTAACAAATACGTTTAACTTCTCAAAAGCAATATTTTAGTTAAATCTTTAAGGCTCCTGATTTAGGATTATCTATGGCCAGAAGACATGTTTGCAGTAAATCTAAGCACCATGACAAAGATGAGGCCCTTGACATGATCCTGTTTACATAATTTAGAAACACATCAGATGGTGGTTTTTACTCCACTTATGACAGTGGTGATTTCATCTTTTGGGGGACAGAGTCTTGCTCTGTCACCCAGGCTGGAGTGCAGTGGCATGAACTCAGCTTACTTCAACCACTGCCTCTGGGGTTCAAGCAATTCTCCTGCCTCAGCCTCCCAAGTAGCTGGGACTACAGGTGTGCGCCAGCACGCCCAGCTAATTTTTGTATTTTTAGTCGAGACAGGGTTTCACCATGTTGGCCAGGAAAGTCTTGATCTCTTGACCTCGTGATCTGCCCGCCTCGGCCTCCCAAAGTGCTGGAATTACAGGCATGAGCCACTGCTCCCGGCCTTATTCATTTACTCAATAAACATTTATTGAGTTCCTGTTCATCATCCTAAGCACTGGAAATTCGGAAGCAAGTTCTCGAGGAGTTTACAATTTATTCAATGGAAACAGACAATATAGAAACAAGAAAAACAAAAAATATCATATAGTAATAACTACTTTGATGCAACTAAAGTGTGGTGATGTGAGAGTGATGTGTGGGGCTTCTTTTGATTGACTGATCAGAAAAGGTGCCTCAACATGTCAGCAGAGAATCATATAATGAGAAACAACCAGTCATGCAAATATCAGGGAAGAAAATGTACTGAAGACTGAGAATAATCAAACAGGTCACACACAAGAAACCTGGAAGCTAAATGTAGTGGACTTCTCCACATCAACGCTGGAGAGCAGTGGCACAATTCCTTTAATATTCTGAATGAAAACAACCATGGAATTGTAAACCAATGTAAACTAATGATCTAGAGAGAGGGAAAAATAGAGCCAAGATTCTGGAAATACACTTCCAGAAATAAAAAGGCAGCTGAAGGAAGAAGAGAAGGTGCATGCCAGGGTGACAGTCATGCACCAGGCCTTGTAGTAATAGTTTTTATGCTAATTTCTTATGGGGACTATTTTCTCACCATTCTGGTCGAAGGTATAGTCTCAAATGAACAGACGTTTAAACAAATTGAACAACAGACTGCTATTTTCAGTTTTGTTTACATTGCACAAAAAATCAAAAGAAATGAAATTTAAGAAATAAGTAGGTCTGGATATTGCTTTAAGAGAGTAGGTATTACAATGTGATAGTGATTTTAATAAAATTAAAATACGTTATAATATTTTATATTATAAAAATAATTTAGCCGAGTTTACCCCGTTAAAAGGATTGAGTATGATAATTTAATTCAGGGTTCAATTTGAGTTACAAGTATGGATTTAAGAATTTTATTGACCATCTCAGTTGTTACTGCTTCAACAAAGTAAAGATTTTCCAAATTGAAAATAATAAGAAACTATCTAAAAATTATAGTGAGTTAAGAAAGGTAGTCTAATTTGGATTACTATCAATAGAATTCAAATTATGTGAAAATCTAGATTATAAAAACATGATTTTTGATCTTGCTGAAATATAGAAGGAATAAAGTAATGTTATAGAATACTTAAACTGTATGACTTAGGAATGTCTTTATTATTCATCCAAGCAGTTCTGGCTCATCACAGAATACTCAGCTAAGCAATAATATTTAAATTTAGAAGTCTCTGGTGTTTTATCTGTGTTTAGTCATATAAAAATCATAGCTTTACACATTTGTTTTTATTTTGTTTTCATAGAAGCATATTTATCACAGCAAAATAATAGAAGATATTTTATTTTACAGTTAACTTGATTATAACTTTTAAATATTTAGACAAAATGATTTGAGATTTCCCTAATACCTTTTCTCCAGGCCTAGTAAATGTGAGACACAGCAGTCCATGTGGCATGTGTGTGTGCACATCATGCTTTTTGGGGAAAAGTGAGGGTAATAGAGGTAACAAGGAAGATGTAGGGAAAAGGAGGGGTGCACAAGAGGCGACTTCCCCAGTTATTCTGTTATTGTTGCTAGTAATGTGTCACCTGTCACCTTGTGACATGGTTTGTTTTTTTCTCTTTGACTTTCCTGTGTAGCCGAGTGGTGGAGTCACTTCAGTACCTATTAAGCTGGGTGGGGCTCCTCTGCCAAGACACAGCCTTGGTGTTGAATGTTGATTGCTGAGGAATGTTTGGTACTTTGGGGAGGGTGTTAGTTCTTCAAGGCCACTAGGGGGCCCCTGGAGCTCGTTCCTCCAGCAGTCTGTCATCAGTCTCTCAATTTGTGATGTTTCCTGTGCTTTCATTTAAGAATAGATACTAGTAATATAAACTGATTTTTAGAAGTTGACTATTGTGAATTTTATGTGTAAAGTTGAGGTGTAATGAAATAGAATTTAGCTGTAAAGCGTGGTGATGTTAGGGAGATTTTCTTTGTGGATGACTGATATGAAGTGACACTCTAATAGAATAACAAT